CTGACTAAACACACAGGTATTAAAACCTCAATATCTCACAGAATAGGAAAGCCAGCATTAGTATTAATAAAATCATAAGAGAGATAAACACAACTACAGACTATGGAATTAGGATTAAACTACACTTTTGGTCAGACAGCAAGTGTCAGATAGGTAGGTACAAATGTTTGTCAGCACTGGTATTAGGCAATCACTGTTCAGACTCCATGGCAGAAGATAATCTTTGCTTCTGAAACAAAAGCTGTGAAAAATGGATATTCATTAAGTCAGCCTCCTATATTTTACACAATGAACTAGAAGGGAACTTTTTAATTTTCTATGTAGTGCTGTTTGCAGAATTTCACTCAGTGCAGGTAAAGATGGCAAGTTAAATATCCTAAATTTGGGAGTATGACAAATGTGCAACTCTTTAAATACTGACTTATTTCCTGGATCTGCCATCAGCATAGTGTGATTTTCATGAAACCAAACAGACAATTCACTCTAGGAATATGACTGGGTAACAGTACCTACTCGTCTGATTAGGAAGAATGCACCCAAACCAGTTTGAACAGAAGAGACTCAGAATCATAGGGACTGTCTACTGGGATAAATAACTATCGTACAATAACTATTCTATACCAGCACCTTATGAGGACCGTTGTTGTACATTGGCACTGGATTAAGCAGAGGTGGAAAAAAAAAGAGTACCCCTTGTGAAATAAAAGTATCTGCATGGAGAACTAGTGCAGAATAGCTATTGCACTTTCCAATCGCACACAAGCCTATTTTACAAAAGCTTCCTCATCTTATAACTGTCTTTCACTCCCCGCGTAGGGAGATCTTAGAGAGACAGAACACTCTGGTTTGCTCAGAGAAGGTAACTTGGTCCAGATGTTGGAACAAACTGTTAATTTAGCTTTAGGGAAATATGAAACCAAGAATTCTTGTAGACAAGTATTAAACTCTTGATACCGTTTCAATTCCAAAATAAGGTCATCTCAACATGATTTTCACAGGATTCAATAGGAGGACATGCAGCTATCTGAAACCCTACCATGTCTGCAGGGGAGCGAGGAATTTGGATATGCTGGGTAGTAAGCCCGTTTAAGCATGGACTCCAAGAAAAGACCCTGAAACAAGTAAATGGCAACAAGCTGACCAAGGTGGATGTGCTTAAAGAAACCAGAAAGAGGTGCAGAGGTACTAGCCCCATTACTACAATAATGCTCAAGGGAACCTATCATGGCTTCCAACTGCTGTGCTGCAGGCACTTTAGTGCTTTGCAGCCAATCCCAAGGATGCATACCATTTCCAGCCAAAAATTTAAGTAGAACTCTTATACTGATGCCTAGCTTTAACACTTCTCCTAAAAAAAATCCATATTTAGCATCTGTAGACAGTCTAAGGAAAGAACTGCTGTTCCAGAATGCCTTCTCCTTACTTTCTAGTCAGGAGTCTTTGGGGTATAGACTACTGGTTATAGGTTAAGACTCTTTAGACAATTACCAAGACACTGCAACTTTAAAGGATAAACTTGCTCCCATTACTCTCAATTTAGAGCCAAATCAAGGGACAAGATAGTGAAACAAGCATAATGCAACAGGGTTGCTAACAGATCTACAGTGCTAGATGTATCCTAGTAATACAAGGACTAGTTGAGCAGAGTAGAAGGAACCATGGAATGGATGTACCAAGAATACAGCTATTTCAAGATCAGGAGTTCAGCTGTAGAATAGACTGCAGGAAGTTAGTCTAATCCCAAATATGTATAGGAAAGCCTTGGACATGGTCATAAAACCAAGGTTTCTATTAAAGAAAAAAGTAGTGCAGAATATTTTACAAAGCCTACATGAATTCATTGGGCATACTTAAATTTAAGAAGAGAAATTAAAGTCTGATGGGACTTCCAGGGTTTGAAGCCTAGTGCTCCACTATCCAGAACACAATCTCATATTGATTACATCATATTTACACCCTATGCTAAGACCTGGAGAGAACAGTGGTTGAACTTCCTGAAAAGTTAACATGTGGTCCCAAAACTAATTTTGGCAGCAGCTAGGAATGAGGGTCTGAAAAGGAATCTGTGACGTGGGATAAACAGGTGATGAATCAAGCAAGACGAGAACAAGTTCTTGCTTTAACTAGGCTCAGCTGGGCTAGAGTACAAGAAAACTAATAGTTGTTTCTTTCTAATTCCAACATAGTGAGCAAGATGTGGCTCTTCTTGCTTCAGATTTCATTCTCCACATGACTTGAACACCTGTATCATCAATTACATATGTACTAGGGCTGTGAGACATTTCGCCAGCTGTTTTGACACTGTTTCGATTAATTTTGAGCTTAAAAACAGCAAAATTGAAACAAAACAAAGGACTTCAAAACAGCCTTGAAACAAAACGGGGAGAGTCAAAATGTTTTGAAAGTTTCAAAACATTTCGATATCCCCTCCCCAGTGCTACGATAGGGCCAGGGAAGAGAACTGAGCCCAGCTGGGCTGAGTTCCTTTCCCCAGTCTGATCGAAACAGCAAAACCATTTTGACGAATCGGAGCAGAACAGTGTTTTTGAATCAAAACAAAGCTCCAAATGAAACACTGATCCATTGAAATGGATGTCAAAGTGGAACACTGCTGTTTCACACAGCAAAATATTTACCCTCACAAGATAAAGCAAGCAAAAAGAAATTGAAGTTTCAGGATCTTTTAAAGATGGACTTGTGGTTTTTTCAGCTTGCATTTCAATGAGCTACAATTCAGAATACTAGAGAGAGAATCAAAGCCATACCACAACATTTTGCGGGTAGACCTTTCAATTAAGGAACAGATGAAACTGATACAGGACTATTAAAATAAGGCCACATGCAATGTCAAAATGGTATTCAAGAGATGCTTTATTACCACCAATTTTTCTTTGAAAGCTGATGGACAGCCATTGCAAGATCTAAATTTATAATTTCACTAATCTCTTCACATACTTCTGTTGTTTCAACATATGTTCCATGTGGTTAAAGAATTCAAATGTGTATTAACTTCAGGGAGAACTTAAGTAACTTGATTCTGTACTAGAAAAGGCATTCTAAAAAAGACAAGTTGTTTCGGTCATAAGATGCTGGTAAAATTTAATTTCCTGATGCCCAATGTAGGCCTTGGCTGGAGCAACACCACTACCAATAATCCCAAGTGATACCCAATAATATCTGTTGGCCTATACATAACAGCATTTTTTCTAAACAGTAATACTGTTTTCATAATATAACTAGTAATGAAAAATGAAACATGCCTTTTCAGCAACCACATTTATTTACACATAGCATCTTATGCAGTATAATCCAAGATTATATACATGTATGTACACTGAAATGGCAGAGCTTCAAACAGAACCCATTCTGAAGTGGAATTACAGGTAGGCTGCCTTATGTATTTGACTGCACTCTATTTTTACCTCATCATCATGAGCTATTCATATGAAAGAAGCAGCAGAAAACCTTTTAAAGTGGTAGATAAAAAGCAAAAGGTGCATGTGTTAATTCTGGTTTTGAATGAGAAATCTCCACTTAGCTTTCAAGCTTTTAAAGAAATACCACCTTTTAAAGGGATATAAAACACACAATATATGGCCTATTTGTTGTACACAATTACAAAGATTACTGCAAAGATAAGAGATTTCTCTTTTTCAGTTCTTTGACCATTAAGTGATATCACTTTCAGCCACTTCTGTTGATCACTAGGGCTGTGCAAAGCTTCAGGTGGCCAATTTGATTCAGAGGAAATTTGGCCCGATTTGGCAGCTGAATCTCCTAATCAAATCAGGAGACCAATAGAAAGGTCTGAATCTATTCAAAGCTCTCCAAATAGATTTGGAAAAGATCTGGACAGCTTTGGAGATTTGGGAAGCCCCCCACTTGCTGCCACAGGGAGCTGGACCTGGACTCCATGCTGATAAGTAGGGGGTGGGGGAGCAGGGGACCATGAGGGGGACTCCTGCCTGCTCCCCCACCCCCGACCACTCAGCCCCCACCTGCCTCTACTCACTGGCTGCTGCAGCAGCCATTGCGGCTTCTGGGGGCTTGTTGCAGAGCCCCCACATAGCAGGGGGCAGTGGGGATCACCTCCTGCCTAGCAGGAGCCAGAGAGTCCAGGGCTTTTTAAAAAAAAAAAGGAGTGGGGAGCTGGGGCCTGTTGGATTAGGAGATTTGGCAGTGGACAAATCAGTTTCATACAGTAATTCGAATCACTGTCTCCCGAAATCGGCCGAATCCAAAGCAAATACTAGCCACTTCACACAGGCCTATTAATCACTACAGAGCAACGGGGAGAAAGCTTAGAAGACAGCCCAGGAAAAATGCGACTAAAATTACGAGATAGGTAGTGCTCGATTTTAGCCAAATAATTAAAAAAAACAGCTACTATTTTATGGTTGTGTTGTTAACAAATCTTCATTAAGTGTCTCCCCCCTCCCCACATCAAGAAAATAGCTCACCTCAAATATTCCCAGCAGTCTGCCCAATTTTCCCTTTACTCCAGCCTACAAAAGAAGGAAAATGTTACCATATTAGCTTCCTCCAGTTCACACACAAAGGTTAAAGTCATGCTTCTGTAAGGAGTTTCTATAAAAGAAAATGAGTTGCATTGCACAATTATAGCAGGAGATTTCAAAATACTACCTTTTAGAGAAACATTCCTTAGGCCTGTTTCTTAGAAATATTCTCTTCTTTAGAAAACTGTTTCAAGTGATCCCAAAATGTCTAGCTTTTGCCCTAAAGTATGCCTAAATACTTGGTTTATGTAATTTGAGA